AGTACCAGTGGTTGTGACCTCCCTCCTCACTACCACACACAAATAATTTAAATAAATAAAAGATTTGAAACGTTATCAAGCACATGACAAAATAGACAAGTTACCAAATTTTAAGTAGTATGGACATGAAGTTCAATAGTTTACACTTCCAGCATCAGATAGAGAAAGGGTATACTTACTCATTCACTTAATCCATTGTTTAAATTCTTTATTTAGTTATTTAAGTTACTTGTTTCCACAACTTTATTCCTACTGAGCTAGCGAGGAGTTTGGAAGTTCTGGGTATTTATTGTATCATCACTGAAATCTTCAGTGCCCTGGTGTTTTCAAATAGTGGTCCTTATCAAGACAGGGAGAAAGCCATAGGAACCTCTGACTCTGATGGACTGGAAACAGTGGACAATAAAAAACCACCATTCAGACAGTTATGTACAAAATCCCCTAATGCTCTAAACACCTGTTTGAGTCCAAATTAAAATGTTACTTCCACTGAAGGCACACCTATAGAGTAGGTAAATTCTGTAAAAGAAATTTTAAGAAAGGCCAAGAAAGGAGTTAGGCATAAGAAAAAACAAATAATAATCTAAATTTCTCAATCGAAGATCTGGTGGGTTTCAGGGGTAGACAGAAGGTCAACAAGGTTACATAGAATTTTTCTTTTTGCTTTATTTTGGGGGTCACACCCAGCGATGCACAGGGGTTAATCCTGGCTCTGCACTCAGTAATTACCCCTGAAGGTGCTCAGGGGACCATATGGGAAGCAGGGAATCAAACCCAGTCTGGCCGCATGCAAAGCAAACGCCCTACCTGCTGTGCTATTGCTCCAGCCCAGGTTATATAAAATTTAAAGTTAGAAGAAAACAAGAGGGGTTCCTGGAGCCTGGCAATTAATACTCATCCTGATTCTCATAGACTTTGGTTTCCACCCTGCCCCACCCCACCTACTTTGTACACACACTCATAACTATGAGAATTCCTAAAATGAGTAACTAGTATCTTCAGAAGAGGTTTTATTAAGAAAAACATAGCTAAAAGTTCAAAGTTGTGGCAGAAATGTCCAGAAGTTCTTACGTATCTCTTACCGCTACTTGTCTACCTCTCTCCAGCCACCCCCATCTCTTTTTAATATATGACAGATGTTGACTGGAGAATTAGGCATTGAGAAATCAGAGACTCCTGAAATGTCCATTGTTTCTAAGCTGGTTGGGGCTTGCTGCCTTTTACACTTCATAACTCAACTTTAATACATGTACTAAACTGGCTAGAACTTAAAAATTGGGAAATTTTAGTCCTTTAGTCCTCATTCAGATTTGTCATCAAATGTTACAGTCTAAAACATCCCCCCCAAGGCTGAAAGGTAATGAAGACTAAGAAAATATCAGTCAGCCTGAAACCCCATCAAGCCATTTGTAAGCTCAGGTGGGGAGCATTCTCACTCCAAACCTGGCACTTGGGAACTGTGTGATGCAGTCAATGCCCAAGAGCATATCACTAAGAGCATGCTAAAAGCCTGTCTCTCTTCTCCTAAAGTGTATTCTCATTCATTCACTACTTTTATTTAAAGACTTATTTTTCTATTATTTTTTTAATTTATTAGTGAGACACCATGAGGTACAGATGTAGATTTACAGATTTTTGTACTTGGGTTTCAGTTATACAACGATTGAGTACCCAGCCCTCCACCAGTGCTCATTCTCCACCACCAATGATCCCAGTATCCCTCCCACCACCCCCTAGGCCCCCCCATCCTACCCCACCTCTGTGACAGGGCATCCCCTTTGTTCTCTCTCTCCTTTTGGGTGTTGTAGTTGTTTTCAATAGAGGTATTGAGTGGCAATCATGTTTGGTCTATAGTTTACTTTCAGCATGCATCTCTCATCCTGGACAGATCCTCCCAAAACCCTTTACTTGGTGTTCCCTTCTCTATCTGAACTGTCTTTTCTCCCAGCATGTGAGGCTGGCCTCCAAGTCATGGATCAAAACTCCTGGTACTTATCTCGACTATTCGTGGGTGTTAGTCTCCTATTTTGTTACTTCATATTCCACAGATGAATGCAATCTTTTTATGTCTGTCCCTCTTATTTCTGCCTCATTTCACTTAGCATGATACTTTCCATGTAGTACCACTTGTATATGAATTTCATGACTTCATCTTTTCTAAAAGCTGCATAGTACTCCATTGTGTAGATGTATCAGATGTACCAAAGTTTCTTTAACCAGTCATCTCTTCTCGGGAACTCGGATTTCTTTCCAGATTCTAGCTATTGTAAACAGTGCTGCAATGAACAAACAAGTGCAGATGTCACTTCAACTGCACTTTTTTTGTATCCCCAGGATATATTCCCAGGAGTGGTATTGCTGGGTCAAATAGGAGCTCAATTTCTAATTTTTTGAGTGGCGTCCATACTGTTTTCCAGAAGGGCTGAACCAGCTGCATTACCACCGGCAGTGTAGGAGGGTCCCTTTCTCCCCACAACCACACCAACACCGGTTGCTTTTGTTCTTTTGGATTCATTATTTTCTATACATTGAAATTTATCAAATAATAATAATAATAATGTTCAGAAAGAATTTAATTTTGGGATACCATGGTTTTGTGACCTTGCCATTGCCCAAAACTTGGTGATATGAGGGTTCAAAGGCTTGTTGTATGGGGATTCACTATCTGGGTAGTGTAGTGCAAGATGTGATTTTTAAATTGATACAGGAAGAAAAGACTGGAATTTTAATAATATTGAAGTAAAAGTCACAGTCACAGTCCTCCCGTTGTTCATCGATTTGCTCGAGCGGGCCCAGTAACGTCTCCATCATGAGATTTTCTGTTACTGTGTTTGGCATATCGAATACGTCACGGGTAGCTTGCTAGACTCTGCCGTGCGGGCAAGATACTCTCGGTAGCTTGCCGGGCTCTTCGAGAGGGCCGGAGGAATCGAAATCGGGTCGACCATGTTGGCCGCTTGTAAGGCAAACACCCTAGTAAAACTTTGGAATTTTATTTTTACTTCAATACTATCACAAACATACTATAGAAATAATCCCTGAACAAACATAAAGGGCTGGCGGGGTAGCACCGTGGTAGGGTGTTTGCTTTGCGCACTGCCGGCCGGCTGACCTGGGTTCGATTCCTCTGCCCCTTTTGGAGAGCCCGGCAAGCTACATAGAGTATCTCACCGCACGGCAAAGCCTGGCAAGCTACCCATGACATATTCTATATGCCAAACACAGGAACAGCAAGTCTCACAATAGAGACATTACTGGGCCCTCTCAAGCAAATTGATGAGCAAGGGGAGGACAGTGGACAGTGACAGTGATAATCACAAAACTGTCTTCTTCTGAGATGAGCCATTGAGTTCTGTATGTAAAATTAACATATAAAATTTCTGATGTGGGGCCACAGTGATAGTACAAAGGGTAGGGCACTTTCCTTGCATGCAGACAACCCAGGTTCATTCCCAGCAACCTATATGGTCCTCCGAGCACCTCCAGGAGTAATTCCTGAGTGCAAAAACAGGAATAACTCCTCAGCATTGCTGGATATGACCCAAAAAGACAACAAGCAAACAAACAAAAAAAAAAAAAACACCACCCCTCAAACCACCCCCAAAGTTTATTACATTAAAGTTTCTTTATTTTACAGTTCAGCTAGTTCTAGGGCCTTTCCTGCTGTTTAGGTCTCTATTTCCATGTACTTGCCATGTATGCTGCCCCTGTCATGTTCTCCCAATGACCTTCCCAGTTAACGATGTCATCTGTCCTATTCCTTGTTATCCAGTCCTCTTCAGTGGTGCGTCATCTTTTGGTTCCCACACTGAACTTTCCAGTGAGTGATTCACTCGACCCTGAGAAGCCTTGCATGCTTCCCTGTCCTGGTCTGAGCCTGTGCTCTGTAGTCTGTGCCCGCAACTCCTTAGCCTGCTCCACAAAGCCCTTCCCCTCACTACTTTTTGTCCCTTTCGTTCCTCTGTTCTCAGGCCAGATGGGTGAGAACTGCTGTTTTTCCTGCAGTCTTCCCTGACCCAGGTGAGAGATCCAAGAGTAAGTTCTCTCTCTCCAATCTTCTTTCATGTTTTCTATCTCCTCCCCTTCGTCACACCCATTTCTGTCTTACCAGCTAACTTGTTGGAGAGATTTAAAGTGCTGTTAAAAAAATGACCAGTTATAACCAGACTACCTGGTGCCCTTCCCATCCCTTTCTGCCCCTATCATAGCAGCAATCTGTCATCCTTCCAACCGTAGTTTCCCAGTTCAGTATGCTCAATGGATGCCTAAGCTGAATCTGGGTTCCAGAGTAGAATGGCATGACTGGAACCAATGCACAAATGCAAAAAGTAATAACTCATGTGTCAGTGTTCCCTATCTCAAAGTGGCTTCATGCTGGCCAATTAGGCTATGACATTTTACACATTTCTGAATGAATCCTCTCAGACACTCTTTGACACACTGATATTAGCCGTGCTTTTCGTCTGAGAAAAAAATAGGCTTTTGTATTATTTCCAAATTAGGCAATGCACAAGTTTTTTTGAGTCTTAACCCATCTAGATCAAGATTTCTGGAAATTAAAACTAAGAATTAAGGAAGCCTTGAAGGAGAAATAAAGTAGAGGAAGCAATGTACTAGAAGAATGTACAGAGTGAGCAAAAGGAACAGAGAAGGAGGGAGATTTGTCTAGTGATCTTTCTTAAAATCTTTCTGTGTCCCTAGACCCTGCCAGAGGTAGGAGTCTCTTGCCCATGCTAGTAGAGTGATGGACTGGAAAGGTACAAAAGCAACTCAATGGGTACTTATTTTAAGCATGCCATATGGTATTGCAACCTCACCATCATGTTCTACCCACACTAATTCTGTAAAAGGAAAGAAAATTGTTTTCGACAATTGAGTCTCTTAGAACTAAGATAAGCTAAACCACTCTCCAGACAATGCCCTAGGCAAAATGAATGGTTTAAAGATCTCCTGGGAAGGGTTCACATGCCCAACTCATTAAGGTTGTTTTACTCTTCCAGGCTCAACTTTACAGATACCAAGATCCAGGATGAATGCCTCCACTGCTTCCACACAGGAGTCTTTTCAAGTGATAGTGTCAAGTAAGAGTAAAGAAATCAAGCCAGCTATCAGGTAAGAACCTCAGATAATCCTGAGTCCCCACTGTTTTGGAGAGACACAGGATAAAAAAATTTTTACTTAATTTTATATTTGCTTATCAGGTAATATACGGACTAAGAAATGTATTCTTCCACACCAATATAAATCAATTTCTATTTAACAGTCATTATTTCTCCCATGCAAAATATCAAATATAGGGGTAGTACTGTAGCACTGGCCTTTCGTTGTTCATCGATTTGCTCGACCGGCACCAGTAACATCTTCATTGTGAGACTTATTGTTACTGTTTTTGGTGTATCGAATATGCCACGGAGAGCTTGCCAGGCTCTGCTGTGCCAGTGGGATAATCTCAGTAGCTTGCCGGGATTTCTGAGAGGGACAGAGGAGTTGAACCTGAGTCAGCCGCGTGCAAGGCAAATGCCCTACCCGCTGTGCTATCGCTCCATGGATATGGGGCTACATAGGGATATGTCAAATAATTTAAATATACCTGTGATAAATGAATGTTGTACACCTTGCTACATTCCAGGTCACATTTTGAGCACTCTGACTTTTTTTTTTCCCCTTTATTTTATTTTATTTTTTTTTAAAGTTGTAGATTTACAATTTTTTGTGCTTTGGTTTCAATTATACAATGATCAGATACCCATCCCTCCACCAGTGCCCATTTTCCACCACCAGGGATAATATCCCTCCACATTATTTATTTTTTTTTCCCCTTTATTTTATTTTATTTTTTTTAAAGTTGTAGATTTACAATTTTTTGTGCTTTGGTTTCAATTATACAATGATCAGATACCCATCCCTCCACCAGTGCCCATTTTCCACCACCATGGATAATATCCCTCCCACCCCCATCCCCCCATCCCCCCGTCTCTGTGGCAGGGCAATCCCCTGTGTTCTCTCTCTCCTTTTGGGTGTTGTGGTCTGCAAAAGAGGCATTGAGTGGCAAACATGTTCAGTCCATAGTCTACTTTCGACATGCATCTCCCCTCCTGGGAGGATCCTCCAAACATCCTTTATTTGGTGCTCCCTTCTCTATCTGAATAGCCCTTTCCTCTAGGATACCCGGCTGGCCTCTAAGTTATGGAGTAATCCTCCTGGTGCTGATCTCAGCTATTCTTGGGTATTAATCTCATACTTTGTTACTTTATATCCCCCAGATGAATGCAATCTTTCTATGTCTATCCCTCTCTTTCTGACTCATTTCGCTTAGCATGATACTTTCCATATTGTACCACTTGTATGTAAATTTCATGACTTCATCTTTTCTAACAGCTACATAGTACACCATTGTGTAGATGTACCAAAGTTTCTTTAACCAGTCATCTGTTCTTGGGCATTCAGGTTTCTTCCAGTTTCTGGCTATTGTAAAGAGTGCTGCAATGAACAAACAAGTGCAGATGTCACTTCGACTATACTTTTTTGCCTCTCTGGGATATATTCCCAGGAGTGGTATTGCTGGGTCAAATGGGAGCTCAATTTCTAATTTTTTGAGAATCGTCCATACTGTTTTCCAGAAGGGCTGAACCAGTGGACATTCCCACCAACAGTGAAGGAGTGTCCCTTTCTCGCCACATCCACGCCAGCATCGGTTGCTTTTGTTCTTTTTGATGTGGGCCAGTCTCTGAGGTGTGAGATGGTATCTCATTGTGGTTTTGATCTGCATCTCCCTGATGATTAATGATGTAGAGCATTTTCTCATGAGCACTCTGACTTTTAAAATATTAATCCATTCCCTATTACCAAAACATTGTTTAAAAAAATATTGCTTCTGTTTTTAATCTATAAAATATACTCAAAGAGGTGCTGGAGAGATAGCACAGCAGGTAGGGCATTTGCCTTGCAGCGGCCAACCCGGGTTCGATTTCCAGAATCCCATATGGTCCCCTGAGCACCACCAGGAGTAACTCCTGAGTGCAGAGCCAGGAGTAACCCCTGTGCATCGCCAGATGTGACCCAAACAGCAATATATATATATATATATATATATATATATATATATATATATACTCAAAGAATTTTCCTCGCTTCCAGTCCTTCGCCCCATCTATTTCTTTAGTACCTAAACACCTCGATTAACAAGAATGCTGGCATGAAAACAGAGGGCAATATGGTTAGTTAATTTTATTTATTTGTTTTTTGATCCACAGACTGTTTCTCAGGGCTTACCCGTGGCTTTCTGCTCTGGGTTTACTCTTTGCGTGCTTGAGGGACTGTATGGAGTATTAGGAGTTGAGCCAAATCAGCCATGTTTAAGGCAAGCACCTTGCCCACTGTACTATCTTTCTGGCACCGATTTAGTTGATTTTTAAATAGACAGTTGATCTAAAAGTTCCATCTAAAATGCATTGAGAATGAATCTTCAATATGTTTGAAGTATAGTTTAGTAGGTATACTTCATCAGGAAGATATTTAACAATTAATCATTGTGAATGTCTATAAGTAAATATGCTATCAATATTAGAACTGACATTATGTTCAGGTATTGATTAATTTAACTTCAAATTCTGCCACTAAGTCCTTTTGAACAAGTTATTTTACCCCTAGGTACCTCAGTTGTAATATTTTAAATATGATAGAGGTGAATAATTTTGGGAGTTTTTTTGAATGATCAACTAGGAATATATAAAATAGAGTGGTTTGGAGAGTAAGTGCTTATTAAATGTTCTTTATTATTATAGTTATCAATGATAATTCTAAGTGGATACAAAATTTTCTGATTGAGAAAAGAGAAATGAGTAAAAATGATTCTGATAATATAGATTTTTTTGAAGAAAACCTTCCTCTTGCTTTTGATATAGTTCTTCTCTTTCTTTTTTTTGTGGGAGAGAGGGAGGGTGGGTCTAACTCAGAGGTGAGTAGAGGTTACTTTTGGCTCTGCTCAGAACTGACCTTTGGACATGCTCTGGGAATCATATGAAAGGCCAAGTAGTAACCTTGGGTCAGCTGCCTGCAATTTGTATTTTACTTGATGTGCTTTCTTGGATTCACTCGTTTTTTTAATACATGAGAACTCATGCTACAGTAAAATTGGGGATTCTGGATAGATGAGCATTGGTTATATGGAAGCTTTAATTGTTCCACTGTCAGAGGTGAGGTAAAAGTCTGAGCCACCAAGGACCCTTAAATATAACATCCTTAGCAATTATTATTTCTTACTTTCCATATCTTCCATTGAAGAATTTTATTAAAGAAAATGAGATAATCTATGGACATATTTAAGAAGTGCTTAGTATAGAAAGATGTATAGATTTCAGGAATTCATATTTTTCTTCACTTTTAATTATAACAACCCAGTTACAGAATAGCATTGAGATTTATAGCATTGTTCCCTTTATGATAGTTGGTAAATAGGTATTTATTGAGTGCCTGTTTGTGCTCAGTGGGTGCTGTACTTGACACACTTGTAGATACAGAAATTGTGCTTCTGCTTCCTAAAATAAGTCAGAGCAAATGAGGCAGCATTCTCTCAAGAGTTACGTTTATTCTTGCAGGAGTTTAAAGGTAAAAGGAATAAGTAGGGTAGGACTCTTGGCTCTATAAAGAATGCAACACAGAGGAGGTCAGGGGAACCTTGAGTCCTCTAAGTACCAACTAGTATAACTAGAGGTGAGCATGCCTGGTGAAGTGGGGTGAGAAAGAGTGTCTCAAGTCCTTTATCTACTTTCAGCATACATCTCCCATTCCGAGAGATCCCTCCAACCCTCATTGACTTAGTGATCTCTTCTCTATCCCAGCGGCTTTCTTCCCCAGCTCATAAGGAAGGCTTCCAACCATGGAGCAATCTTCCTGGTCCTTTTGTCTATTATCCTTGAGTGTCAGTCTCATATTATGATATTTAATATTCCATAAATGAGTGAAGTCATTTGATATATGTCCTTCTCTTTCTGACTCATTTCACTTAGCATGATACTCTCCATGTCCATCCACTTACATGCAAATTTCATGACTTTGTCTTTCCTAACAGCTGCATAATATTACATTATGTAGATGTACCAAAATTTCTTTAACCAATCATCTGTTCTCGGGAACTCGGGGTGTTTTCAGATCCTGGCTATTGTGAATAGCACTACAATGAATGTACAGGTGCAGATGTCATTTTTTATTGTATTTTATTTGCACCTCTGGGATATATTCCTAGAAGTGGCATTGCTGGTCAAATGGGAGCTCAATTTCTAGTTTTTTGAGAAATGTCCGTATTGTTTTCCAAAAAGGCTGGACCAGTTGGCAATAATCCCCAAAGCATTATACGGATTCAATGCAGTTGCTATAAGGATATTCATGACATTCTTCAAAGAAATAGATCAAACAATCCTGAAATGCATATGGAACAACAAGTCCCCACGAAGAGCTAAAGCTCTTCTTGGGGGAAAAAGATGAGAGGCATCACCTGCCCAACCTCAAACTGTACTACAAAGCAGTAATAATTAAAACTGCATGATAATAGAACAAAGACAGATCTGCAGACAAATGGAATGGGGTTTTATATCCTTACACACACCTTTAAATATATGATCATCTAATCTTTTATAAGGGAGCAAGGAATATAAAGTGGAGCAAGGAAACCTCTTTAACAAATGGTGCTGGCAAAACTGGACAGCTACTTCCAAAAAAAAAAAAATGGCCTCAGACCTCTACCTAATACCATGCAAAAAAGTCATATGAAAATGGACTAAAGATATCAATATCAGAGCAGCATCTATAAAGTAACATTGAATAAAAGGTAATCAAAACCCTGCACAACATTGAAGCTAAAGGTGTCTTCAAAGAGGAAACACAACTGACCACACAAGTGGAAGCAGAGATAAACAAATGGGACTATCTTGAACTAAAAACTTCTGCACCTCAAAAAAAAACAGCAACTAGGATACAAAAACAGCCTATGGAATGGGAAATGATATTCACCAAATACTCTTATTATAATGGATTAATATCAAGGATATACAAGGTGTTGGTTGAATTCTACAAGAAAAAATCTTTCAGTTCCATCAGAAATTGGTGTGATGAAA